TGGCTTTGAAGTAATTGAGAGATATTAGAAAAATGTTCAATTCAGTTGACACTCAGACTTTATTATTCGAATTCATTTTCTCTTCTCTTCCGGTGCCTGCCCCGCCGCGGTAGATAGTGGCTAAGGTACTCGGCTGCTGACCCGCAGGTTGCGGGATCGGATCCCGGCTGCGGCGGCTGCATTTCCGGTGAAGGTGGAAATGTTGTAGGCCTGTGTGCTCAGATTTGGGTGCACGTTAAAGAACCCCAGGTGGTCGAAATTTCCGGAGCCCTCCGCTACGGCATCTCTCATAATCATATGGTGGTTTTGGGACGTTAAACCCCACATATCAATCTCTTCCGGCGCCTTAGAAAAGAGCCAACATACTATAACATCGCCAACAAAACTTACTCATCTATAGACCTCAGCATCATATCTCCTTCACTTCTACCCCTACTGAAATGGAAAATCATAAATAATCCATATGGAAGTGACCATTTTCTTGTAGTGTTGAGTACAACATCATCATATGAATGTCCTCCACATGTTCTCAAATGGCTGATAAACAAAGCAGACTGGGAACAGTTTCACAACACTACTTGTTTAAGTTGGACTGACATATGTATGTAGGTTAAACATAGATGAAGCTGTGCAGTACTTCACAGCTTTTCTTACTGATGCAGGAGCCAAGTGCATACCGCAAACATCTGGAATGCCTGGCAAGCGACGTGTCTCATGGGGGAACACTGAGTGTCGGAATGCGCGAAAGGAGCAGAAGAGGGCAAGGAGGTTGCTTCGGAACTCACTGACAGCCGACAATCTTGACAGCTTTAAGAAAATTAAGTCTCTAGGCAGGAGAACTCGTCAGCAGGCCAGAAGAGAAAGCTGGCAGAAGTTTTTATCAGGAATCAATTCATATGCACAGGAGGCTAAAGTCTGGAACATGGTTGGTAAAATAACAGGAGGGCAAGTTCACTCACTCCCACTCGTAAACACACATAGTGACAGCTTGGAAGATCAGGCGAACTTCCTGGGCGCACACTTCGAACAGGTGTCTAGCTCGTCACACTATACTGAGGCTTTCCAAAAATACAAAACAGAAATAGAAAAGCAGAAACTAGAACACGAATGTACAAAATACGAGGCATACAACCAAGCTTTCAGCTTATCTGAGCTCCAAAAATCACTAAACTCCTGCAGTAATTCCGCCCCAGGTTTGGACTGTGTGCTGTATGAAATGCTGAAAAACCTCCCAATTGAAACACAAACTTTACTTTGTTTGTACAATGCTATCTGGTTTTCTGGCACTATCCCTGCTTCCTGGAAAGAGGCCATTATTAATCCCATTTTGAAAGAGGGCAAGGACCCTTCTGCAGTTTCGAGTTACAGGCCTATTGCACTTACAAGCTGCTTGTGCAAACTTTTCGAAAAAATTATAAACTGCTGAGTTGTACATTTCCTTGAAGCAAACAATTTGCTCGACCCATTCCAGTGTGGATTTCGATAGGGTAGATCCACCACCGACCACCTTGTTCGTATCGAGGCAGAGATCACAGACGCTTTCGTTCACAAACGATACTTTCTTTCTGTGTTCCTCGGTATCGCAAAGGCTTATGATACAACATGGCGCTTTAAAATATTAAGAGACCTGTCCCACTTTGGCGTGCGGGGCAGAATGCTTACCATAATGAAAAGTTACTTGTCAAACCGGACATTCCGTGTCTGAGTGGGCAGTGTTTTTTCCAAAACACTTGTTCAAGAAGCACGAGTGCCGCAAGGTGGTGTACTTAGTTGCACACTTTTTATTATCAGAATGAGTTCTTTGCGCTTGTCCATCCCTTGCAATATGTTTTATTGTACATACATCGACAACGTTTAGCTTGGTTTCAAATCTTGTAATCTGGCCATGTGTGAGTGGCAGGTTCAGCTTGGTTTGGACAAAGTATCCACTTGGGCAGAAGAAAACGGGTTCTGACTAAATGCACACAAAAGTATGTGTGTCTTGTTCTCCAGGAAGAGAGGCATTCATTTCGAACCCGATGTTCAACTGCATGGGCAATGTCTTTCTGTTAATACTGAACACAAATTCTTAGGCCTAATCTTGGACACCAAGCTAACCTTCATACCACACATGAATTATTTAAAAACGAGTGCATAAAAGCAATGTCTGTTCTAAAAGTGTTGTCACGCACTACGTAGGGAAGTGACAAGAAGTGTTTATGTATTTGTATAAAAGCCTCATACTTATCCGCCTAAACTATGGGGCAATAGCATATCAGTCTGCGACACCTATTGCCCTTAAAATGCTTGACCCTGTTCATCATCTAGGCATCCGTCTTTCTACGGGTGCTTTTCGCACTAGCCCCGTGCAAAGCCTATACGGGGAATTGAACAAATGGTCGCTCCACTTACCGAGATGTTACATGTCTTTTAAATATTATCTTAAAGTGAACGCAGACAAGAAACACCCTTCACATACGACAATTAAGGACATGTCATGTTCTGCTGTGTTTAAAAAACGGCCTTCTATGAAACAGCCCTACTCACTCCGTATTAGGGGCCTAGCGAAGGAAACCAGTGTGCCACTTAAACACCGTTTGATGGCTCCCGCAATATGCCTGCACCATGGCAGTGGCAGGCAATAGACTGTGACATGTCTTTCTTAGAGGTTATGAAGCACACGCCAATTTCACATATTCAGACGTACTTTCTAGAACTACAACATAAATACATATGTCCCAAGTTCTTTACGGATGCTTCAAAGTCCAACACTTTTGTCTCGTACGCAGCCGTCGGCCCATCCTTCTCGGAAGCTGGCATCCTGCACTCTGATAAAAGCATTTTCACCGGCGAAGCCTATGCGATTCTTGCGGCCGTTAAACACATTAAAAAAGTAAAACTACAGAAGGCAATAATACATACAGATTTTTTCAGTGTAGTAAAAGCTTTGAAAACTCATAAAAAGCACAGAAACCCTGTCCTTGTCTCGCTTTATTCGCTCATATGCACGGTCTACTCATCCAAGCAGCATGTTGTAGTCTGTTGGGTGCCAGGACACCGCAAAATACAAGGCAACGTTCTGGTGGACCAGTTAGCTGGATCCGCCAACAAAACCGCTACCAATACATTGATACCGATTCCTGCACTCGACTTGAAACCTTTTCTAAAACGAAAGCTCAGGGGCTATTGGCAGAGCACATGGGACACACACACAGGTAATAAATTGCATGTCATCAAGCCGCAACTTGGTCATTGGCTGCCAGTATCAAAATCATGCCGCACAGAAATAATACTTACAAGGTTAAGAACAGAACATACACACACAACACATTCATTTCTTTTGTCTGGTGGCGATCCACCTTTGTGTGATAGATGTGGAGAAGCACTCACCATACTTCACATTTTAATCCAGTGTAAAAAATTAGACACGCCGAAAAGACAACACTTTCCATTACCCTACCAACAATAGATACCACTTCATCCTGCAATTTCCGTCGGTAGAGAACCACTTTTCACACATAAATCGTTGTTAGCTTTTTTGAGAGAAGTTTGTACTTTTCATACCATATACCCGGGCATTTCGTAGCACGACCTCTCCAGAGAGGTCTCCGCAGCGGTGGCTGCACTCAACAAAGCACTTTCCTCACTGCTCTTGGACGCAAGGGTGTGAACTATCAAGGAACTTGTGCTAGCGGCATACATGTCCACCATGGTTTTTATTATCACAAACTTGTGTCATCTATTAACACCACACATTTCCCACGGCGTGGTCATAATTTTATTACTTCTATGTTTTACCCGCCTTAGGGCAAGGAATTTCAAGGCTCTTATACAGCCGCTAATCACAATTGTTGTTCACATCTCTTGTCCCACGAACTGGTCCTTTTTTTGCCATCAAATGGCACTTGCGCCACAAAGCACCAAGCATCGTCATCATCATCATCGCACTCGAAATTCCGCTATTCGCAAAGTGTGAGAAAAAATACTGCACAAATGTTATGTAGTGCAAGTAATCTCATTAACACATGTAATATTGCATAACAGGAGCGTAGAATTACACTATATGTCAAAACATACGAAATGGGGAACAAATGGTTGGGTCAAATGCCCACCAATCACATAGGCACAATAATTATTATCAATAACGTGTGCAGCTGCACAGGTGTGCATGTTGCCTTAAGCACATGTAGTTGGAACTTCACCAACTCGTAAAAAGAAGAATTATATCAACTGGTGCACTTGTGTGAGGCATTCTAGGATACTAGCTTGGGATAACCAATTCACAGATGCACAGCCATTCTTTTCCTTGTAATACAGTTGAGGTGTCCACATAAGCTAGTCTAGAAGTTACCAAGGTAGGCTTGCAACTGCGACATTTAGCTAGAGTCTTACTTGCATCGCCTTCACAATCGCTAGCTTTACCATTACTAGCTTTTGTGAAGCTAGGCTGGCTATTGTGAAGGCGATGCAAATGAGGCTGCAGTTATGCTCTTGAAGGTGAAGCATCCTCCATGTTTTTTTTTTGTTTGCACGACTAGTCCCATCATAAAGTTGTATCCTCATTCCAAAATGCTGGCAGGAAATCATTATCAGCATTCTAGAATTGTGCTGCGCTTCCAAGTTAGCATTTTTGCCCCAGTGGCAAGCCGTAAAATCCCGAGCAAGTGCCCGCCTACCTTCTTTAGGAGATTTCAAACCCGCGGCCTCTTCACTGCTACCACGGCTTTTATAGTTTTATAGGATGTTTTCGTTCGCCCGACAAGGACAAATGACAACAGTGACTGCATGCGTATTCCAAAAAGCATTTCATTGGAAGCATGAGTGTGCATTTATTATTCTTAGCTGCTCTTCTGCCTTCATCTTAAATTTTAATCCATGATCAAGCAAGAGCCACCCCCTTCAAATCTTGCCAAATTATCTTTCATGAGGGGCTTGCTTGGGATTTAACAGCAGTGTCTCTCCTTTTATTTGTCATCAATTTCACCCTTAACCATTGTCATCTTTTTTTTCTTCTTGGACAGCTGACACACTCAAATCAAGTGGCCCTGCAAGTGATCACCTATGCTGGCTGTTTTGTTTCCATCGTCTGCCTCATCCTCACCATAATTACGTACCAGTTATTCAGGTCAGCACATTGGATTTCTACACAAACCTGCCTACTTTAATCTTCATAAAATCTAAATTTGATATTAGCCGCTATGTTCCCACCTTGTAAACAAGTCACACCTTCTCTTATACTTTTCCCTGTATATTCGCAATGTTCATAGACTGTCACACCTCCAAGCAGAATTCAGGAGCGTCCTCTCAAGGATGGTCAGTTGGCAGACGCTTCTCTGTTCAGCTGTGCTAGCCTCAGTGTTAATGCGTTAGCAAGAAATGAACACTTTTCACTTTGTTTCGTGCATCGGTGAATACACCAAACCGTCCATGATGCAATAAATCTGCTTCATTCCTGTGAGACACGAAGTTTTCGTGAAAATACGTGGCAACTCACACGTCCGATTGTAACCCGCAGAGAACACATATCAGCTTCGCGAGATTTTCTGCAGCCACGTTGGATAGTTAATTGTTATCGTCTGACCTTTGCAGTTGAAACTCCCCTTTTTTACATTTATATCAAATTCGTAAGTGCTTTTGTAGTGCATGAATCCCATGACATTCATCTTACGAGAAAGTTGTGCAGGCTCGCGATTTGCTCTACTAAACCTTGGTCAGCACTGCGCTGCTTGATTTTTACATTTGTTTGTAGATGGTAGCATACTGCCAGTGGCTCGCTTCTTGCTGGGTGTCAGAGCAAATTGTTCTCCATGCCCAAATAAACGTGGTGAGTGATGTCGTGTTGGTGTTGCGCATGGTGAGTGACGCATTGTTGCTGTCATCGAAGTTGTTCGGCGGGGAGAAGTCCTCAAATTACTTTCAGCAGTCGTGTTAAAAGAAACATTGTGATGTTGAGGATTTTTTACTGGACGTAGAACACTCCAAGTGTGACAGCGATGATGAGTGATCAGCTGCTAACTCACAAGCAGCGAGCTGCACTTCACGTCCCTTCATGCGTTAATGTTTTTTCTCGCTCGTAAGTCACTTTGATTGTATTTATTCTATGATATTGACACATGCCATCATTGATGAATGAGCCACTGTGGCTCATACTCGTTTTGGGCTGAGAAGCCCAAAGCAATATCCTGCAGAAACCAGCGGCCGAACAAACGAGTATCTATGTTTGTCGAGGACATGCTTCGGCTCTTCAGGTGCGCGGGCCCTGTTATGCCGGAGGAAAAGAAGGTGCGGCATTTGATGCGCAGAGTAAAAGAACAGCTGTTCACTGGACTCGTGCGCAATCCACATGACAGTCGCTGAGTCCATCATTGAGGCGACCACGATGGAGCATACTCTGCAGCAGCGGTCGTCACAATACAAACTCCAGATCCCAGCCAGCACATGCTCTCGCAGGCCTCATTCGAAGTATCGTTCGGGACGAATTGTGACAGCTTCAGGCAGTGGGTTCTCATCCACCTGTGCCAGCCCTCGCGGATGTAATCAGACAATAAGTCCGGCAGGCCGTCACACCCCTGGCACCAATCGCACCACCAATTCTCGAGGCCCCAGTCCTGACATACGCAGCGGCATTGCGTTATCTGCGTGACCAGCTACAGATCCTGCTATGCTGCCTGCCAAAATACCAAGCTAGCAACCATTCCAGGACACTGCTTCGAGTCCACCTCATGGCTCAAAGTTTCTGAGCACACCCTCCTATCTGACGTCTGCCTCAAAACAAAGTGGTAGCAAGGCAAGCACGTGGCGCACCTCGGATAACTGTCCGCTCTGCTATCACTGCGGCGAAGCGAGTCACGTATACCGGAACTGTCAATACCGCCAACTAAGTCTCCGTGGCTTCCACCCTGATGCTCGGTGCCCACGCTACGGTGATCGCCCCCACGAAGTCAAAGCCTATCTGACGGGCCAGTGAACTCCTTCAACTATTCAGCACCACCAGTCGAGATTACCATCGCCTCGCCGGCCTACATCACCCAGTTTGCCCTCGTCGTCTTCCACTCCTTTCAGGAGCCGGTCACCAAGTCTCCTCGGAAAAAACTAGGAACGGCGACTTCAGGGGGTGAAGTCGCGGTCTGGCAAACTGTTGAGGACCCTTCTTCGACACAACAACCCGACGAGGACCATTCCGGTTTTGCAGTGTTCTGCCACAACAGAAAGACCGTTTCTACCGAAATCGCCGTTTTCGTCGACAATTATGCTGTCAACGGCCTCGTCGACACAGGCGCCGACTATTCTGTAATGAGCGCCACATTGGCATCTGAACTGAGGAAGGTTACCACACCGTGGCAAAGACCCTAGTTGTACACGGCAGGTGGCCATTTAATGATGCCTACTGGTATGTGCGCGGCACACATTCGAATACATACATCGACATTTGCGGGCTCTTTCCTCATATTGCACGTGATCTCTCGGCCAGTCATTCTAGGAAGGGACTTCCTTCGTGAATATGGCGCCGTCATCGACCTCCGTAAGTTACTTGTGCCATTCGAGGATCCTTTTTGCGTTGCAACTGACAGTACGCAATTCCCAAAAAGAGCACTCCATGTTACTAACGACTTTCTGACCCTCCCACCTCGAAGCAGCCTCTTTGTCAAGGTAGAATTGGGAGAGGACTTGTCTGACGCAGTAATTGCAGAGGCCAATTTGTCTTTGCTTATTTCACGACAAAGTGTTGCCCAAGCAGTCATTCAGTCTAGCAGCAGGCACGTTCACCTGCTGGTCATGAACTTCAGCGACGAATATTGCCACCTCATGAGACACACTGCTATTGATATGTTGAAAAATTTGGCGATGCCGAAAGTTCGTTTACATTAGCTTCATTTTCATTGAATGGCCACCCTGACGAGGCCTTCCCGAGCACTCTTGACGTAAATGAGAGTCTACCTTTGGCTCAACGAGAAAGCCTTTTGCATATACTCGGCTCATTTCAAGACTGCTTTGCCACTACGTCGAAGGTTAAACAGACGCCACTTGCTCAGCATCGTATCATCACAAAACCCACCGAGAGACCCATCCGACAACATGCCTATAGAGTGTCGCAAAAAGAACAATACGTTATACGTGACCAAGTCCAGCAGATCCTTCAGGACTACATCATCCAGCCATCGACGACCAGTCTCTGGGCTTCGCCAGTAGTGTTAGTAAAGAAGAAGGATGGTACAGTGCGCTGTTGCATTGATTACCGTAAATTGAACAAGGTCACCAAAAAGGACGTTCATCCTCTACCCCGGATAGACGACCCGTTGGACCGTATGCACAACGCTTTTTCCTTCATGGATTTGCATAGCGGCTACTGGAAAATTGCAGTGGATGAGCGTGACCGCGAAAAGATGGCTTTTATTACTCCCGACGGCCTGTGCGAGTTTAAAGTGTTGCCTTTCGGTCTATGTTTAACGTCAGCTACTTTCCAAAGAATGATGGATACAGTTCTCACGGGGCTGAAATGGCAATCATGTCTTGTTTACCTTGTTGACGTCGTGGTCTTACGGACACGTTCGAACAACACGTCCAATGCCTTCAGGCAGTTCTTCGGGCAATTAGAACAGCGGGGCTTTCTCCCAAACACGAGAAATGCCATTTTGAATACGAAGAACTGAAGTTCCTTGCTCATGTTGTGAGCCATGCCGGCATCCGCCCAGATCTGGAAAAAACCCGCGCCGTTGCCACCTTCTCTGTGCCCACAAATAAGCGTGACCTACGCCGATTTCTGGGGCTCTGTGCGTACTACAGGGACTTTGTAAAAAACTTTTTGAATATCGCTGAACCCCTCAACAAGCTTACAAAAGACGGTGTCTCGTTTGTTTGGGGTCCTGATCAGTGCCATGCGTTCGCACCCTCCAAAACCTTCTCCAGGCTCCGCCTGTACTGGGTCATTTTGATAAAAGTGCCGACACGGAATTACACACTGACGCCAGCAACGTTGGACTAGGAGCGGTATTAGTTCAGTGGCATAATAGCATAGAGCGCGTGATCGCTTATGCGAGCAAAACGTTATCCCCAGCGGAGAAAAACTATTCTGCAACCGAAAGGGAATGCCTCGCTGTTGTCTGGGCCATTACAAAGTTCTGCCCATACTTGTATGGCCACCCATTCAGGGTAGTTAGCGACCACCATTCTCTTTGTTGGCTTGCGAATCTCAAAGATCCCTCAGGTCACCTAGCATGATGGAGCCTTCGGCTACAAGAATTCGATGTCACCATCGTCCACAAATCTGGGTGGAAATACACTGACGCCGACTGTCTTTCACATGCACCGGTCAAAAATGCCAACACTGACCTTGAAGACGACGACACTTTTCTTTCTGCTGTATCAGCTACCAGCTTGGCTGAGCAACAGCGTCATGACTCGGAGCTCATCCCGCTCATTGACTACCTGGAAGGCCGCAATTCCCACTCTCCTCGAAGCTTTGCATGCTCGCTATCCTTCTTTTGTTTCCGCGATAGAGTGTTTTATAAAAAGAACTTCCATCCTACACAAGCTATGTATCTGCTCGTCGCGCCAACCACGCTTCGTGGTGACATTTTACGTGCGTGTCATGATGAGCCATCATCTGGACACCTCGGCTGTACGCGCACGCTGCAACGAATTTAACGCTCCTTCTACTAGCCATGTCTCGCAAAGACAGTGAAGCACTACGTTCGCACATCTCACGACTGTCAGCGACATTAAGATTCTACTTTTACGATCAGCGGGACTATTGCAATCAATAGGCCCATCGAAGACGCCTTTTCATCAGATTGGCATGGACTTGATGGGGTCATTCCTTACGTCTTCGTCTGGAAACCGGTGAATTGGGGTCACTACTGACTACTTAACATGCTACCATGAAACAAAGGCATTCCTAAAAGCCACCACACTAGACGTCGCCCATTTTTTCATTACCAGCATCGTCTTACGTCACAGTGCGCCAGCTGTTGTCATAACTGATCGTCGGACAACTTTGACCACAAAGATGCTGCAGGAAGTTTTGCCATTAAGGGGAGATGCGGGTCGAAGACACTTTTTTTTAAATATTCATTCGAGAGCAATGAAACTTGAGGTGCTTATAGAACTTTTTATGCTGATTTCGAATATATAATGAGTTGTCTTGCAAGTTGCATACTTTTAGTTTTGCAACATGACAAAGTGAAAAACTTAAGCCCTTTGTCCCCCCTCTTTTCATACCTAAACTTCATTAATTTTTTACAATTGATAGTTCATAATGTTTCAAATGAAGTGTGGAATGCAAACAACTAATTTGGAAGTCCATACAAAATATGTACTAGACGTGAAACATTTTAACGTGGGAAGTTCACATTTCTCCTACCCTAGTAAAAGTTTACATAACTTTTTTTTTATTATATAAAAAGAATATTGAAACTTAAACAAGATCATTGCATTTCTCGTACTTTGGAAAAAATTTGGGAAAAATTTCATGCAGATCTGAGCACCAGAAGTACCCGAAAAAGGAGGGGCACATTGACAAAAATGGCAAAATTTGTGTTTTGAGAAGAAGAAGTTTTAAAGTCAAAATTGCATGTTTTTTTATCAAAGATGTCATTGAATGCGACGAAATTTGTACACAAGAAAGAAAAATCCTCCTTGTAGTGGCCACTGCCATTAAAATCGGACTAGCTGCTCGTAGCCCATGCCTACAGAGCGCGCCGCCACAACAGCTTTCACGTTGACAGCGTAGCTATCGCGCGAGCTCCCGCTGTCGTATGTTCTCCTCACGATCAGTCCGTCACCCACCACGCTCACGCTGGCCTCCCCGCCTGAAGCTACTCGCCGCGAAGTATATGTCGCCGAAAGAATAGTCTCAGGGCACTCACTGTTTGGGCAGTGGAGTTCGACGAACGACGCAAGTCCTTTCCGCTTGTCGGCCGGTTCCCGGACACGTAATCCCAAATGGCGACACGTCGGACACATTGCACCGCGCACAAGCATGTTCAGTGCTGTCACATCAGCAATCAACGAAGACTCGTCGTCCTGTGATTTTTCTTCGTCTTCGAAGAGTCCGATCTTTTTCTGGGAGGCACTCACATATTCGAATGCCGCGGCAAACTCGTCGGGCGCATCGGCGTCATTGCCACTACGTTTTGCGGCAGCAGACGATCTTTTCGTGGTTTGAGTGTTCGGCTTTGATTTGCGCCGGCGTCCTCGAAATTTGTGCGCCGCGTGAAACTTCACAGGCCGGCGACCGCGCTTCCTACGGCTTTCTTCATCCATAACGAATAAGCACTCGAGAAAAGCGTTGTTCAGCTGTGCTGCTCGACGAGACACGGATCCTGGAAGTAGGCTTCACAGCACATACAGGCGCGTATCGGCCAATGGCGGCTCCCGATCCGTACCACGTGATTTAAAAGCCAGTCGCGGCGCTCGAAAAAGGCGGCAAAAGCGCGCTTCTCTTTATTATTTCTTGCGTTGCAGCAGCGCGGGAAACCGTCGCTATTTGAAGAGTGAGGCTCGGTTCTTCGCCTCATGCGGTCGACAATGGCGAGCAGCAGCGCATTATCAGCGGCAAGGTGCTCGAAGATGACACACTTTCGGCCTTTTGACAGCCACCTTGTGCTCTTCAGACGCAATTTTAAAGCACTTCCAGTTGATTCTCGACATAGATTTTTTTTTTTTCAGAATAGTAGAGGTACTAATCTTAACAAAACAGGTGAAAACAAAAAATCGATAATTTTTTAGAAAATTCTCGTTTTTCGACCCGCATCTCCCCTTAAGTGGCACGTAACATTGCAAAACAACGGCTTACCACCCACAAGCAAACGGGCTGACTGAAAGACTGAATAAGACTATTGCAGAAATGCCGTCAATGTATGTAGACATCGATCACAAGAACTGTAACGCTATCCTTCCTTACGTCACTTTTGCGTATAACACTGCTGTTCAAGAAAGTACCGGTTTCACACTTTTTCGCTTAGTCCACGGTCGCGGGGTCACGACGATGCTCGACGCCATGCTCCTGCTTAACAACTTAGGAGTATACCACACGGATGCCACCAAATTCGCTCAGTGCGCAGAGGAGGCCCGTCAACTCGCTCGTCGTCGTATTCAATATCAACAAACTGCAGACACACGCCACTACATTCTTCGTCACCTTGAAGTTATATTCAAGCCTGGTGATGAAGTCTGGGTGTGGACCCCTATCCGACAGCGTGGTTGCTCAGAAAAGCTGCTTCGCCACTACTTCGGCCCTTACAAGGTCGTACGACGTCTCAGCGATGTTACCTACACGGTTCTCCCAGAAGGCACTTTAAAACGTTCCCGTCGCCCCCACGCAAACTGAAGTTATTCACGTTTCACGATTCAAACCATACCTTTCGGGCTGTGAATCACCAGCGGAGTGACTGACTTTATTGGTGTCTTTGCGTCTTTCTTTTTGTTTCCTTTTTTTTCCTTTCATTCTTACCTATTTTTCTCATTTCTCATTTCACTCTTGACTCCACAACCGACTACGTTATTCCGCCTTATGCAATTCGTTTTGCTTGCATAGTAATTTTTGTCTTATTTTATTTTCTTTTTTTTTCCTTCATGTACAGCATCAATACAATGCTTCTTGAGAGAGGGGGTAATGATGCATTCCACCATTGATGAACGAGCCACTGTGGCTCATACTCGTTTTGGGCTGAGAAGAAGAAAACATTTTCATTGCTCTAGTTCAGGTCAACTCTTAGCTGCTGGTCTTGTTTTGCTCGTGACAATATCCTTCAGAGACTTGAAAACAAAGGCATCGTTTTTCTTGGGCATTGCATATAGTCGAATTATAGTGAATGTTACCGAGCGCCGCATCGCCGACACGCTCGAGCTCGACCAGCAAAGTGAAATGGTTAGAGCAATGAAGCGTGGAGTTACGGCTGCAATCCATGCCTCTCTGCTAACATCTCTTGCACTTCACCGGTATCATGCGAACGACGTTGTGGTTCGATTAATTTTCGCAATTGTGATGTTGCCAAAAGAGTACGCGTGCACTCTTTTCAATATCCTTGTTGCGATCTCGCTGATAAAATCTGTAACATTCGAGTGCAGTCGATTGGGCACTGTTAGAGTCTGATCATGGCTGACACGAGTGCTACTTAGCAAGAAGTTAAATGCTTGTGTTCCATTCAAGAGGCAACTCCATGGTGCCTGCAGTGCAAGTAATGACGACAGTGTAATATGTTTTCAAACCATCGCTTCGTTATACATTCGGTCCCGTGCAGCCACGACGGCGTGCTACTCGCTAGTGGCCTAGTACTGCGGCGAATCCGTCAGGCTACTCGGCACAAGTTATTTCAGAGTGCCATTCAGGTCATACGTCAGTTCAAGTTCACGCAGTTTTTCTGTGGCACGCATAGGATTACACAAGGCATCATTGATGCATGGTCGATCAACTACACCACCACCCTTTCCACTGCGACAAGAAATGAGGCAGCGAACGTTTGGTAGTTCCTATCGTTTGGGAAAGGACTTTTTTTCAATATACATTCATTCGATGATCAAGAGTTCATCCGGTGAAAGCGGCATGTGGCGTTCGTCCGTGCATCCTATCTTTTCCAATGCAAGGTCACGGGTCGACCCTCCTCCCACAGCCATCTTGGATTGCATAGCGTGCAACCTATAGCTCATGGGCATTGCGAATACTTATGAACCTGGGTCATCACTGAAAGGAAAAGGTAGTGGCGCACAAACTACACATGGACACAGAGGGGACAGGTGGATCGCGCTTGTCCGTGTCTTCTGTGTCCATTTGTAGTTTGTGCACAACCAGCTTTTCCTTCGAAGTATGAACAACTTTCCCAGCAGCAAGTTGTATTAAGTCATCATTGAGCATATTTTTGCTGGTGTCATTGCATTTTAAGTGCAGGCAGAGTGTTGACAAAACACTGTCATCCTTGCAGGGGCCTGAAGAGTGAGCGAATGTTGATCCACAAGAACCTGTGCATCTGCCTGCTGGTTGCGGAAGTAGTCTTTGTGGCCGGCATCTCGCAGACTGCGCAGCGCACCCTGTGCGGTATCATCGCTGGCCTGCTTCACTACTTTTTTCTGGCCGCTTTCCTGTGGATGTTCCTCGAGGGTTTCCAACTGTATGTCATGCTCATCGAGGTGTTTGACTCGGAGAAGTCGCGCCTCGGCTGGTACTACGCACTTGCGTATGGATTGCCCGCCCTGGTCGTGGCCGTGGCAGCCACTATCGATCCTGCCAGTTACGGCACGCCACAACATTGCTGGCTTCGCACTGACAACTACTTCATCCTGAGCTTCATAGGGCCCGTGGTCGCCATTCTTCTGGTGAGCTTGAACTATGTTTATGAACAAACCATGTGTGACTGGCCTTGGGAATTCTTTTTTGTGAGGCACCTACTGTGATTACCATGTTTTGATACATAACCGTAAAACAAAAGTCATAGTCGGCATTCAAATTTTAATAATTTTGGAAATCGGGATGTGCATCGATGTATTGTTCATATCCCTAGCACCAAGTATTTAGAAATGACCCATATGTGATGCATGCGAGGGGCCTCCCAAGTGACAATGTTAGCCGAAATATTTACAAATTACACCTTCCTCCTCTCTTACTTTCCCCACTATCATGGCCCTTGCATGAGTAGATTTTTGTTACTGTTGCCTGCTTGTGCAGGTGAGTTTGACACCCCTGATCTGGGGTCTCGAAGAAGCTGCTCTCAAAAGAAATGAACACACTACACATCTTCATGCAACAAACAAGTGTGCCTTTTAACAACTTTTACAGAATGATGAGCTTGCTAGCCGAATCTGACAAACAATTGAAGTAATATGCCAAATAGCCCAATATAATGCCAATACAATGCACACAGAACATAACACATACAATGTACCACAAATGCGGTGTCACAGATGGTCTGACTCAAAATGGTAGTCTGTGAGACAGAGCTGCGAAATTTGTATCAAAGGGGATTCACAGACCTCCCGAAAGAGACGGCCCCGAAAAATCTTGTGCACCTGCTTAACGCCACTCTAGTTGGGCATTGCCACTGGTGCCACCTCATGAGCACATTGCCGATTCTTCTTTGGAAGCGTTTGAACTGTCAATGACACGCTGGCACCTTGAGGCAAAAAAGGTACGAGCACCCCGCCCCACAACCATTACAATTAAGATTGCAATTTGAAGATGGAATGGACAAGTCATAGCATCAAAAGACAGAGTGTATGGCACATATGAGATTTATTTAATGCTTTATAAAGGAGAAAAGGCAGTTAACAGAGCGTGCATACTTAAAGGTGCTAGTGTTGTTGCTACTTAGAAGCTGCATACAGTGATACCTTGTTAACTCGAATTCGCCTATCTTGAAAAATCAGCGAAATTTTCTGCGGAAGCTATACGTCCCATGTATATTTTTCCTCCCAGATGTTGAAGCGGCGTTGATGGTATAGCTTTGAAATAAGGTCCGAGTGCAGTGGCGGGGAAGATCCACTGATGTGATGCGTCAAGCAGCTGGAGGATGTCTTCCTAAGCTCGAGTATTACCACAAAGCAGACGAGCATTAAACAGTTTTTCTCTGATAAATAAAATGGCAGTGCAGCAAAACGCAGCTGGCTGAAGTCTCTTGTATGTTATTTTTTTCTCTTTGAAACGTGCACGGAAAGAAAGATTAGAAACTGCCGCTGAAGAGCCGGTAGGTAGTAGTGATTTCTCCGAAGAGTGCTCCTTTTTCCCGGCAATTAGTGCAACTTTTCTTATCTCGAAAATTCGATTATCTCGAAATTTTCCCTCTTTTTTACGACTTCGAATCAATGAGGTATTACTGTACTTATAAGCTCTGCTCTTGTTGCTAGAACACTTACAGTTTATTGCCTTTATTTCTGCTGCCCACTGTTTAATTAATGCTTGCATCCTAAGCCATACATTGATTTAATGGAGCATCTTTCAGTGTTTATTGAGCTTGTTTGACATTGCTTGACTTCGTAAAAAAAAAAAAAAAAATTCAAGCTTTCTTAAAGAAAGTCTCTGCATACGTTCACACAGATACGTCCAATGAGCAGTGGTGCATAGTCCAGAACTACCATATATGCTCAAGTATAAGCCACCCCCATGTACAGCCTATGCCCCCCACTTTCGTTCGTGTGCAAAAATCAGAAAAGAAGAAAAAAAGGAGAACTAGAACGTACCAAAACCACAGCTTTCGAGGCTTCGCGGCCTCTGCTCTGCGCCAATCTTTGAGGCCATTTGGTGCATTTTTGGCGAGTTTATGAGCTGCTTGCGGAGGTTTCGTGCACCACGTCACTGAAATGTCGTGTGGCAATGGCAATCAGCTCTTGGATCACCCTAGTAAGATGAGTCTGTTCGACAATGAATAGACCTTGAATAGTGAAATAAATGTTCATATTTGTCTTCAAATTTTAATTATCGACTACAGTAGTCAGTGCTGCTACAGTGTGCTAATGTGTAGCTATAAGCCCAATTTGTGTATAATATGATGAAAAAAAGTGTGGCTTATACACGAGTATGTACAGTAGGCGAACATGAGTTGCCTATTTATGAGCCTCTTGACCAGACATTCAGGCCTTTTATAATCTCTTTTTTTTTACAGGCAAATGTGGTGTTTCTCAGCATTGCCGTATACATGATGTGTCATCATTCTAGCCTAGCTAGCTCAGTGAAGAATAAAGAACACTCTAAAATGGCCAACTTCAGGTGAGTGACCTGCTGATTATTGATATATTTTTCTTCCAAGACATGATGTTTTCAATACTTAAAAGTTAGCTTGTGCGAGTAGTAAATTTTATGTTCGAGCCGAATTGCTTATCCGAATAATTTCGAACTGAATTCCAATTGTATATTATCATGAGTAAAAGGGTACGGGGAACATGCCAAACGTCAGAGTGTGGGGATGGTGCATGAGGCCACGATGGTGTGCATACTGGCCACGTCCATCTACAGGATTGGTTGGAGGAAAGCTCGTGGCGCGCAACACTTGAGCTGTGTTTGTGAAAAACCCCCAGAATACGGGGTGTCGCTGTCCTGTGGGATGCCAAACAAAGAAAGTTAAAAAAGACAGTGTTGCTTCTGCGGGGAAAGCCCGGTGCGAAACGTCTGCGAATCTTCCTCCTGCCCAGACGACTCTTTCTTCCCATGTAACCTTAGAGCCTCCTCGTGTTCCCAATGTCTTCCGTGGAGAAGCGTATGAGGATGTTGAGGACTGGCTTGATCACTTCGAGTGTACCGCTGTGGTAAATCACTGGAGCGCACAAGGGAAACTTGGCCGTGCCTATTTCGCAATAGAAAATAGCGTTCGCACATGGTACGAGAACAGGGAGCCTACTTTCCAAACCTGGGACAATTTCCTCCAAAAGCTTCTCGAGATGTTCCCGAGTGTGGACTGACGGGATCTCGCACAACAGATGATTGAAGCCTGCATGCAAAAGCCGAACGAAAGCGTCACCATGTTCGCTGAAAATATGGCCCCTCTATTTCGCCGCGCTGACCCTGACATGCCCGAGGCAAGGAAATTTCGTCACCTGATGCGGGGAGTTAAGGAAGTTCTTTTCGCCGGCCTTGTAGGAAATCCGCCAACAACAGTGGATGAATTTATCAAAGAGGCGACTGTGATCGAGTGGGCGCTCCGGCAACGATACCCCCACTTTGACCGCCTGTCTGACCAAACGCATGTAGGTGCCGCTGCTCAAAACCCTGCTGTTTCCGAAGAAGCTCTCTACGGCAAATGATTAAGCAAATCCTGCGGGAAGAGCTGCGGGCCCTCGGCATTCCGTCTACCGAGCGTCCAGTTGCTTCTGTTGCGGAAATCGTGTGCCACGAACTGTGGCAAGCCTTTCTGTCACTGGTGGCACCGCCTGAATCACGTCTGTTGACCTATGCTGATGTTGTTCGCCGTCATCTGCCTGCCCCAGAAGAAGCACTCTTTCAGCCACGGCCCCTTACCTTGCCTTGGTGGCAGAGAGAACCTGTGCAGCAGCCACAAGTACATCGGACCCACTTGTGGCACACTGCCGAACGTCGACCTTTTTGTTTCTACTGCTGTGAACCAGGCCACATCTTGCGCTACTGCGGTCATCGAGAAGTCCGGTTTGGAAACTTTTCTCGTCCCGCTTGATTCTATTTTGAAGACCCTCGTGACCATGGTGCTGATCACCTGCCAACCAACCAAGCTTCTTCACCACGTCGTCGCTGGCGGTCTCCCTCATCTGCACGAGGTCACACTTCCCCAAATCGTCAAAGTTACGCTGACGTCGTCAGAAACCACTCCCCAAGCCCGTGCCAGAGAAACTAACTGCCGCGATCTCCGGGGGCAAGGTTGCCAATCGCCGAGATGCCAAAAAAGCTCCCTTGCCTCTCCAGAAAGACGACATGATAATGGTGATGACGAAGACGACGACAGCCACGAGTGCTAATGCCGTCGAATTTGTAGGTGCTGACCTTAGCATTATTATAGATGGACACTACATAACAGCACTGGGCTGACTTCTCGACAAGAGCTTGCCGACCGCCTTAAAAAGGTCAAGATGCTGTGGGGTGGGCTGAGCATAAGGAGTGCTGGTGGACAGCTAATGACGCCAACAGGTAAATGCACCACTAGGCTTGTAATCGGTGACTCGAGCTTCGTCGCCACTTTTGTGATCTTACCGGACTGTTGTAAAGAGCTGATTGTGGGTATGGATTTCCTGCGAGAGTACGGTGCTGTCATCAACATTCCAGAACGTATCGTCACCTTTTTTGCCTATCCTTACGTCGATGCCCCCACTGAAGAACAACTGCAACGTTTACGTGTAGCTGATAATGTGATGCTTCCGCCGAGATCTTGCTGCCTTGTGTCTGTGTTATGTGACCGGCCGTGCTGTAACGAGGTGATAACGGAGCGAATAGTCACGCTATTGCTTATGTAAGGTGTTGTCATAGCGAGAGGCGTTCAGGCACTAACTGATGGGCGGGCAGAAGTGCTCCTTGCCAACATCAGCAACGAGCGCTGTCACATTCAAAAGAGCACAGCAGTTGCCTACTACTATGATATAGACCAAGCCAGAGATGCTTTGCTTTGCATCCGGACGATGTGACCGTCCCGGCCTCGACACCTTTGTCTGTCGACATTTGCTCTACCCTGTCACCCTCGGATAAACAGTGCCTATTAGAGCTGATACACCAGTTCCGAAATTGTTTTTCGTGCATGTCGAACGTCAAGCAAACACCACTGACTCGGCACCGAATCATTGTTGAAGAAAATACGAGGTTGATTCGGCAAAGTCCATACCATGTGGCTCCGAAAGAACGCGAGGAGATCCAAAAGCAAGTTCAGAAAATGCTCCAAGTTGGCGTAATAGATCCTTCAAAATGTTCCTGGGCATCCCCCGTGGTATTGGTTAAAAATAAAGACGGCAGCTTGCATTTCTGTGCAGATTACCTCAAGTTTAAACAAGTCACGAAGAAAGACGTCTACCTACTGCCACGCATAGATGACTCTCTTGATCAGCTGCGGCATGCACGCTATTCCTCATCAATGGACCTGCGATGTGGCTATTGGAAAATAGAGGTCGACGAGAAAGGCCATAAGAAAACTGCTTTCGTGACGCCTGAGGGTCTTTATGAATTTAAAGTGCTTCCATTTAGGTTATGCTCAGCGCCAGCCACTTTTTAACGTTTAATGGACACTGTACTATCAAGACTGAAGTGGCAGACATGCTTGGTCGTCCTAGACGACGTTATTGTCTTCTCAGCTACATTCGATAAACACCTAAGTTGTTTATTTGCAGTTCTACAAGCTGTATGTTCAGCTGGCCTGACTTTAAAACCAGAGAAGTGCCATTTTGGTTTCAGTGAACTTTGCTTCTTAGGCCACGAGGTCAGCCACGAAGGTGTTCGACCTAACTCGGGCAAAATTGACGCCGCTGCAAAGTTTCCTGCATTGCATGACAAAAGAGCAGTGAGGTGCTTCTTAGGCCTCTGCGCTTATTACCGACGATCCATCGCCAACTTTTCGTCTATTGGAGCACCTTTGACACGGCTCACATGAGAGGATGTCCTCTTTCTTTGTGGCGAAAAGGAACAAACTGCATTCAATGAATTATGCCAACGTCTCCAAAACACCTCCGGTTCTTACGCACTTTGACCAGGAAGCGCCAACAGCACTTCACACCAACGCCAGCAATGTAGGCCTGGGCGCCGTACTGATACAATCGCAACAATAACTCCGAATTGGTTGATATCCTATGACAGCAGAGCTCTCTCTCACACGGAGAACTACTCGATTACTAAGAAAGAGTGCCTCGCCGTGGTCTGGGTGGTTCTCAAATTTCGACCGAATCTGTACGGCCGCTCATTCAAGGTCGTCAGCGATCACCACTCGCTTTGCTGGCTCACTAACTTGAAAGACCCATCAGGCCGTTTACTCTACAGGACCCTTCGGCTTCAAGAGTTTGATATGACCATAATTTACGAATCAGGGAAGAAGCACACCGACGTAGACTGTCTCTCGCGGTCACCCGTAGAGCATGCCGCTATTAATGACGAATCTATGGACGCTGCATTCTTGGGAGTAATCAACGCAGCCACTATTTCACAAGAGCAGTGCAGTGACCCCGACCTGCTTCCGCTTATGGACTTCTTAGAAGGACGACGTGAAGACGTTCCGCGAATTTTTGCCTGAGGACTGCCGTCTTTTTGTTTAAGGAACGGCGTCCTATACAAAAAAAACCTTTCTCTCACTAGCAGCCCATACTTGCTCGTCGTCCCTGCATCACTGCGAAAAGAAATTTTGGAAGGCTGCCATGATAAGTCACCACCGCTCATCTCGGCTACACTCGAAAATTGTCCCGACTGCAAAACAGTTACCACTGGCTGAAACTACATGCTGCTGTAAAACATCACGTCTAAACCTGTGCCGACTGCCAAAGACGCAAAGCACCCCGCGGCAAGCCGGCAGGCTTATTACATTCCGTCCAAGTACCAGCAAAGCCATTCGTACAAATTGGAATGGATTTCCTGCGCCCATTTCCAACTTCTACCACAGGGAACTGATGGATCATTATCGCCACTAATTACTTGTTTCGCTACGCAGAGACTAAAGCTATGCCGAGGGCATGGCTTTAGTCTCTGCGTAGAGAGGGCATGGTTTAGTGCCGAGGGCATCGTAAAACGAGTGGGCCGTCCAATGCTGCATCCTATCACAAAAGCTTGTTCTTGTTCCCCTTTTACTGCGGCGCATGCCCACTTCAGCCATAATTCCTCATCGTCGTCAGCCACTGCATGAACAATTGGCACAAAATTTCTTGCAAGTGTTTAGCAAATACCACGCTTCTCAGAAGATTGACGAAAAATAGCATAGCGAATACCGGCCTACTACCCGAATAAATTTATTAATAATTACCTAGTGGGTATCAAGCAAGTATACTTGCAGTAGTTACCCAATGAGTGTTTCGAAGAAGCTCTGAAAGGCCGCTCTTCTAGCTTTCACTGTGACTGTGCTGCGCCTTCCGTGCAGGCCTGTCATTTTACATCATTCTTCTGAAAAGTGTAGTATTTGCTAAACACTTGCAAGGAATTTTGTGCCAATAGTTCATGCAGTGGCTGGCGACGATGAGGAATCATGGCTGAAGTGGGTATGCACCACAGTTAATAAGAGAACAAGCTTTTGTAACGGGTTGGAGCACTAAACAACCCATAAAGTTTTCGAATATACACTAGAG